ATACATATATATACACACATACATGCTTTGAAACGGACAGACATCACTCTCTATACAGTTGGCTCTCCATTTTTTTCTCATATCAGGAGCGACTTGAGAAAATGCAAGTCGCTTCTGGTGTGAGAGACTTGGCCATCTGCGAGGATGTTTCCCAGGGGATACCTGGATGTTTTACCATCCTGTGGGAGGCTTCTCTCGTGTCCCCGCATGAGAAGCTGGAGCTGACAGACAGGAGCTCACCCCGCCAACCTTTCAGTGAGCATTCCTGCCGGCACAAGGGTTTAACCTATTGCGTCTCAGTTAACCAGCCCTCCATGGGAATTGGTTGATGTTAGATAAATGTTGTTTCTGGTTGCCTGAGAGCTTCTATTAAAAATAGGCATAAATATGACACCGTAGCATAAACTAGTGGTTCTCAACCTGTGAGTCCCCAGGTGTTTTGGCCTACAACTCCCAGAAATCCCAGCCAGTTTTGGATTTCTGGGGTACTCACAGGTTGAGAACCACTGCCATAAACTCTGTATCGATTTTAGACAGGAATATTGGAATATAGTAATTAAAAGCAAATTAAGACAAATTTAACTTAATGTAAGGTACTGTGTGATAAAAACAGCTTTCAGAATGTAAGATGCAGTCTTAGTTTTTGCTTGTGTTTCCGTGAGCTGAGGATCAAATGCCGTTGGCAGCCTTCAGCTGGACTGGCATTGATAACCTGCTCTGTGTTCGTCCTTTACCCCCTTCCCCTCCTATTCTTAGAATTACCAATTGCTTAAACCTCCAGAAACATGATATTTACGTCTCACTCGGAGTGATGGAAGACGGAGGCACTTCAGCGGCTATTTTTGGTCGGCTGCAAACAGGTTTGCGGCCGGTTGACTTGGATCTCCTTCCGCCAGAGTGAAAGGAAGGTGGACAGAAGCAGCTGAGGGGCAGCTGGAACCCCCGTCAGGGCCTTGTCTGCAGGCGTGCCACGTGTCCAGGCCTGGAAGTCCACACGTGGCAGACTGCAGTGGGCCCAACATCTCTTACAGAAGACTATTTGGCTGTATTCTCTCTGTAGATGGAAAACTAGCTAGTGACCTGCCTTGACCAGAGATACAATCAGTGCAGGTTCCCATTACAGTAGACTCTCAGCCAACTCATGACACCAGTGGGGATTAATAGATGCTGGATCACTGTAGCTTTTGGTTGCTTGAGGGTTACTATTAAAGGTAAAGGTTTTCCCCTGACATTAAGTCCAGTCATGTCCAACTCTGGGGGTTGGTGCTCATCTCCATTTCTAAGCTGAAGAGCCAGTATTGTCCGTAGACACTTCCAAGGTCTTGTGGTGCCATTACCTTCCCGCTGGAGCGGTACCTATTGATCTACTCACATTTGCATGTTTTCAAACTGCTTACTTACTTAGACAATCCTTCGTAGTCCAAGGATGATGGTCCTCCAAGTGTAGTGTCCTGGTGGTGGGTTCGTAGGTGACTGTGGAGTCCTGTTCTTGATCTGCATCTTCTCCCACAGTGAGGGCATCGGTTTCCAGGTGGTCTCGGTCGGGGTTGGCTTGATGCACCTTCCTCTTGGCACGTTTCTCTCTTTCACCCTCCATTCATGCCTCTTCAAATTCTAAAGCATTGCTGGTCACAGCTGACCTCCAACTGGAGCGCTCAAGGGCCAGGGCTTCCCAGTTCTCAGTGTCTATGCCAGAGTTTTAAAGGTTGGCTTTGAGTCCGTTTTAAATCTCTTTTCCCGTCCTCCAACATTCCGTTTTCCATTCTTGAGTTCGGAGTAGAGCAACTGCTTTGGGAGACGGTGATCGGGCATCTGAGGCGAGAGAGAGAGACTATTTCCTCTTTAAAAACCTCTTTGCTGCCTTATACTGATTCAGTTTCTTCATTTATATTGACTGGGACTGTCTGTATGCTGTTAAACCTTTGTACTTTATATCACAGGCAATGAAACACTCTTGTGTATAACGAAGTTACACAGTTTATTTATAACTTCTGGCTCCAACGCTTGTGGTTACATTTGTGTTTTGTTGCAATCTTGAGGCTTACAGTCAGTATCATTTACTTGGTTAACTTTTCTGAATAAACTATCAATGTTTCACATTCACAAACATGTTACTTGCTTTACACACTCTTGGTCGAATTATATTCTGAACTAAGGCAACACTAGCCTTCTTTATGTTCCTTAAAAACTCGAGCTCTATTTAACTAACTGCTTCTCTATATCAGAAGTCTTTAACACATCTTCATAACTGCTTATTTCTATCAGGCCCTCAAAAACCAACTCTCTTCTTCACACACAGATTCCTAACTGTCATTTTCAAACTCCCTCACTCTAACTGCCTCTTTCAGAACCTTGGCTCCGCCCCTTTGGAATGTTCAGCTCTGCTCTCCCCAACTGTCATTTTGGCCTAGCAGCCTTTTCAAATCCTGGGCCTACACTAATCTGCATATGACCAATTGGCTTCACATATGCAAATGAATCCTATCTCTGCTGTTGCTACCCTGTCTGTGCCTGTTCTTCCCTATCTGCCATATGTAAACATAGAGCTATACACCAAAACTTTAACATGGAGTAGCAATTTCGCTACAGCATCGCTTCAATGCTGGTGGCATTTGCTTCTTCCAGCACGCTGACATTTGTCCACTTGTCTTCCCAAGAGATTTGCAGGATTTTTCGGAAGCAGTGCTGATAGAATCATTCCAGGACCTATTGATCTACTCACATTTGCATGTTTTCAAACTGCTAGGTTGGCAGAAGCTGGGCCTAACAGCTCAGCCCGCTCTCCGGATTCGATCCAGTGACCTTTCGTTCAGCAAGTTCAGCAGCTCAGCAGTTTAACACACTGTGCCACCGGGGGCTCCATTAAAAACGATTAAAAACAGGCCTAATTAATGCTTTACCCCATACTGTATCATACCACAAATTCTGTCTTGACTTGATATTAAAATTGAATTACAGTCATTAAAAGCCAATAAAGACAAACACAACTTAATATAAGACTGTACAGGCAGTCCCCAAGTTATGAACAAGATGAGTTTGTTTTTAAGTTGAATTTGTATGCATCTCCAGCCAAATACCTATATTTTTTAGCTTTGGATAGCCTAGGAAAGGGTGACTACCCCTGCAGTGTTGCCTTTGCTGACTGTGAAGATTTCACCACACTTTCTGTGCTTTTGAGAATTAGAGTTTGAAAAAATTGTTTTGTTATGGAAACAAGGATTGGTGAGAAAGCTTCAGTGGAGACCCCTTTCCCCCATGATAATAAGTCTTCCTGGAGCAAATTTCCCTTCCAAGGAGTAGATTGTTGGAAATAGCAACCTTCCAATCCTCCACTAACTGTTTGTAAATGTGTATTAATTGTTAACCTATATTGCATGTACATTTTGGTTTGCCAGTTTCTCTTGGCACTTTTCTCTTTTTCGCTCTCCATTCGTGCCTCTTCAAATTCTAAAGCACTGCTGGTCACAGCTGACCTCCCACTCTTTGGTGTGGAAGGGGCTTCAGACACAGGACTCCATTTTGTATTCAGTTTGCATCAGACCTAAATGGAGGTGGATGCAGTTTGTCTCCTTTCAGACTTCAGTGAGTACTGTTATACATTTTGGACTATATCTGTATGCATAAAGACATTTGACTATGGACTAGTATGCTGAATATATACAAGCAGTTTGTTAGTAAACCTGAGATGTTATTTTTTTAAAGAAGATGACTTTGTTTTGTCTCTTGAGTGCATGTTTTAAACAAAGTTTTTAAGGGAGAGTAGATGGGTAACTTCAAATTCTACTTCAAAGAAACAATCATTCTTTGTTACCCAATATATTTTTGTAGTGGCATATCTTTATCCTTGGCAGTTTAAAGACATGGTTCTTCAGTTTAACAGCTGAGTTACCTGTGTGCCATTACATGAATGCTTGTGAATATCACTTGTTCAAAGGGTTGACTTCTAACAAGTTCATGCTTTCCTTGACTAGTGTTTTCAAAAGATGGTCTCCACATGTTCATGGAGATTCACATTTGCCAAACGGATATGACATAATTTTTACCTTTTCAATAAAGTTATGGTGCACTTATTTCCAATAGTTTATGGAATTTCCAATATAGATTTCTCTCTCTTCCTGTTATCTCGCCCCTGTTCTTAACTAGGAATCATTTGTAAGTTAGATGTTTGTAACTCATGGACTGCCTGTATTATTGAAATAGTTTTGTGAATTGAGTATGCGATTATTAAAATAGTTTTGTGAATGGAGTATGCGATTTTAGTTAAATGGCAGTTCAAATTGATTTTATTTTAATTTAAAGTATTTAATTAAAGTATTATTTCTTCTAAAAAAATTGCCAGTTGCTGGAGGTCTAGTTAAATGACAGTCGGCAGTATAGACGGCAGCTTGAATCATATGCATATGCCACAGCTCGAATTGTGGCTCTCTCAAGCCCATTTGCTGTCTGAAGTAAACACAGACATACATATCTGAGTGTGCATTTACACTGTTGAATTACACCATGCTGGTTCTCATCAGCTAGGCTATGGAATAGCTGATGAGAACTAGCATGGTGTATTGGTTGAGTTTTGGATAAGGATTCCGGAGACCAGGATCTGAATCCTTACTTGGCCATGTAAACTCACTGGGTGTCCTTTGGGCAGGTCATACTCTCTCAGCCTCATAGGAAGCCAAAGGCAACATTCTGTTAAACAAATATGGTCAAGAAACCTCTATGACATGATAGTTTAGGATCATCATAACGCACCTAACAAAAATAAGATGAAAGCTGCCTTGTGCCCCAAATTGAGAAAATGGATGGATGGGCAGATGGATGGAATTAGTGTTCTATGTTTGTATAACTGGCGTTGAGTTTTGTAAAAATTAGGGTCATATCCCTAAATCAGTTTTCTGGAGATCTTGCTCATTTCTTTCAAATCCCTTTTGATTTTGTGCAGATTGCTATATTCTGTCCTACGGGATGCCTTACCAAGGAACTTCTCCCTTCATGTGTCCTTGCAGGTGACCCAATGGCTCCCAAAAAGAAAGCCCCCAAGAAAATCAAGCCTTTGAAGAAAGAAGGTCCTGCCAACCCCATGATGGTAGAGGACCCTTCCCTTGACATTGACCATCACCAACAGCTGGATGAATTATTTGAAAACGGTTCCGACGGGTTCCTCTGCACAGCCACCGAGGTTTTAGACCCAAGGCATGGAACCAACATCCTGGAGGAGGCACACTGTATGCAGAAGGAGCACTTCCTTTGCGATCTCACCGTTGCCACAAAAACAAAGACCTTCAATGTCCATAAGCTGGTAATGTCCTCCTGCAGTGACTACTTCAGAAGCCTGTTGAAGAAGAACCCCAGCCTTCAACAAGTGGACCTTGTAGATATTTCTCCTTTGGGCCTGGCCACCATCATAACCTATGTCTACACAGGGAGAGTGAGTCTCTCTCTGTACACCATTGGAAGCACCATTTCCACTGCCAGCTACCTGCAGATGCCTGCCCTGCTCAACATATGCACTGACTTTCTCATCCAGGAGATGAACGTGGAGAACTGGACGTACGTGGCCAACCTGGCTGAGACCTACAGTCTCAACCAGACAAAGAACGCTGCCAAGAAGTTCATCCGGGAACATTTCCTCGAGTTCTCGGAGACTGAGCAGTTCATGAAGCTTACCTTTGACCAACTTAACGAATTGCTGATGGATGATGACCTTCAGTTCCCCAGCGAGGTGGTGGTTTTCCAGATTGCCATGAAGTGGCTCGAATCGGACCCCAAGCGTGTCAAACATGCTGCCGACCTCCTGAACAATGTCCGGTTCGGCACCATCCCGGCACATGACTTGATCAACTATGTCCAGCCTGTGCCATGTATGATGCAAAATCCAGAATGCCACCGGCTGCTGGTCGACGCCATGAATTACCATCTGCTGCCTTTCCAGCAGAACGAGCTCCAGTCCAGAAGGACCAAGATTCGAGGGAGCCAGAAGGTCCTGCTGGTGGTTGGTGGACGCCCATGTGCTGCGGATAAGGCCATTAGCAAAGACGTGAGTCACAGAGATCAGGACGGGAATTGGAACAAGCTGACAGAGATGCCAACCAAGTGCTTCAACCAATGTGTGGCAGTCATGGATGGGTTCCTCTATGTGGCGGGAGGAGAAGATCAAAACGATGCCCGCAACCAAGCCAAGCATGCCATTAACAATCTGTGCAGGTAATGCAAATACAAAGCAAGGCTTTAAGGATGAGTGTTTTGGAGAAAATAGTTTTCTAGGCCTGCCAAATAATTCATTTGGTTTTGTTTTGCTTTTTTGTGTCAGGAGCGACTTGAAAAACTGCAATTAGCTTCTGGTCTGAGAGATTTGGCCATCTGCAAGGATGTTGTCCAGGGGACGCCAGGATGTTGGATGTTTTTACCATCCTTGTGGAAGGCTGACACAGGGAGCTCAACCCACTCCCCGCAAATTCAAACTGCTGACCTGTTGGTCAGCAATCCTGTTGGCACAATGGTTTAACCCATTGCACCACCACTCATTTGGTGCTAGGAGCCCCCAGTGGCGCAGTGGGTTAAACCCCTGTGCCAGCAGGACTGAAGACCGACAGGTCGCAGGTTCGAATCCGGGGAGAGGTGGATGAGCTCCCTCTATCAACTCCAGCTCCTCATGCGGGGACACGAGAGAAGCCTCCCACAAGGATGATAAAAACATCAAATCATCCGGGTGTCCCCTGGGCAACGTCCTTGCAGACGGCCAATTCTCTCACACCAGAAGCGACTTGCAGTTTCTCAAGTCACTCCTGACACGACAAAAAAAAAATGGTGCTGAACACTAACATATGTATTGCTCTAAATGAGACCTATTCCCATGCTCTGAAAATTCTAATATGTAGCATTTTGGGGAAAGGGACGAAGGTTAGAGTTTGTGTGTCAAATCACCTGTCAAAATCCCATGATTTTCATAGGTTTGTCTCAGGCAAGGAATCTTCAGAGCAGGTTGTGGCCTTTCTTCCTCTGAAATATCCCCTCCATCACCTGGGATTGTTGACAGCCTCCTTTTCCAAAACTAACCAGGGCTGTCCCTGCTTAGCTTCCAAGAACAGAAAGGATCTGGTGCCTTTTGGGTACTTACAACCTCCTGTGGGGTCATACTGCATAACTTTGAAAGTGAGCCAGGCAGGAGAATCAGAGGAGAGACAATGTTAGATTGTGTTAGATAATGTTAGATTACAACTCCCCAATCATGAGAATCCAAAAGTGGATGGTTGAATGTATGAACAACACATACTAGCACTCAAATTTCTCCCTTTTCTCCATCAGAGCCCTTCTGAAATGCACAAGCTGAAATCAGGTTTCATATCAACGTGGTGAAATTTTGAATAACAACTGCATTTTCTCCCCAGGTACGACCCGCGTTTTGGCACTTGGCTGCACTTGGCCAGCATGGCCCACAAAAGAACTCATTTCAGCCTCAGCACCTTCAACGGGCAGCTCTACGCCATTGGGGGACGCAACGCCAAGGGGACCCTCATCTCCATCGAATGCTACATCCCGTCCACCAACATCTGGCAACCCAAGACCAACATGGAGCTCCCGCGCTGCTGCCACGCCAGCATGGTCCTGGGAGGCGAGATCCTGGTAACGGGTGGCTACGTAAACAATGCCTACTCCCGCACAGTGTGCAGCTATGACCCGGCCACAGACACTTGGAGGGACTGTACCTGGCTCAGCACCCCAAGAGGGTGGCACGGGGCTGCCACGTTGAGGGATCGTGGGTACGTCCTGGGGGGCAGCCAGCTAGGGCCCCGAGGGGAGAGGGTGGACGTCATACCGGTGGAATGTTACAACCCTTCCACCAACCAGTGGAGTCATGTGGCCCCACTGCCCATTGGCTTGAGCATGGCTGGGGTGGCCACTCTCAATGGGCAAATCCTGCTCGTGGGGGGCTGGAACGAGAGCATGAAGAAATATCAGAAGGGCATCCAGGCCTATAACCCCGACCTGAATGAATGGATCGATGATGGAGAACTTTTGGAAGGGACTGTGGGGGTCTCTTGCTGCACCATCGCCCTTCCGCACACCAGCACCAGAGGGTCCCGGGCCAGCTCGGTTGGATCGGCAGCCGTTAGCATCTAAGGGCGAGTTGGAGCGTTCATAACTAGCCCAAAGTGGCATACAAGAATATAGAGATGTATTTTATCTCAGTTTCTAGTGCTTTGAGGGAATAAGGCATTCTAACTGTATCTAATCAGCTGCTATGCTCATGTATAAGTCTAGAAATTCTAGTCAAAGGTTGGGATCCCAAAGCAGGTAACTTATCCATGGATCAACGTATGTAAAGATAAAGGTTTCTCCTTGATATTAACTCTGGTCGTGTCCAACTTTGGGGGGTGGTGCTCATCTCTATTTCTAAGCTAAAGAGCTAGCGTTGTCCGTAGATGCCTGCAAGGTCATGTAGCCAGCATGACGTGCCGTTACCTTCCCGCCGGAGCAGTACCTATTGATCTACTCACATCTGCATGTTTTCGAACTGCTAGGCTGGCAGAAGCTGGGGCTAACACTGGGAGCTCATCTCACTCCCCGGATTCAAACCCCTGACCTTTTGGTCTGCAAGTTCAGTAGCTCAACGGTTTAACCTGCTGTGCCACCAGGGGCTCCCAATATACGTACTGTACCTCTTATCAAAAAGGAATAATCTCAGAATAGAGTGGTGAACGGCAATAATTTAGTCCACCCTCAGGAGCACCAACCCTCTATTATCTCCTCCACAGCATTGCTTTTGACTTTTTTGAATTTGTGAGCAAGGAAACAAGAGATGGCTACCAGTAAGTGTTGCTGGCACCATCCCATCCGTGCAGAATAATACCTCACCCCACCTCATCTATGTGTCATATCAAAATCCATCATTTTGCCCCCTAAACTTCCCCTCGACTTATACATGAGTATATACAGTAGATTTTACTAGGGCCTTACGTGACACAAAACATGCACAGTCTTTCCCACAGTTCCTCTTTCTCCTTGGAAACTGTGGCCTGAACATGTTTGAAGGTGTTTACTCTCATCACACTTTTTAACACTTTCTCCCAAGTAGGCCTTCAAAGCAACATGTCCCTGCTTTCTTTGTGCAGAAATACTCTTCTGCTCCAATCCACAATTCCTTCCTCTTTGTTACTATCTGTAAAAGAACGACAAGCTTCCATTGAGTTCTGGTCATCACCCAATTCTCAGGGTCATGGCTTCCATGATTAAACCAATCCATGTTATGGCGTGCCTTCAAGTTCTTTCTGACTTATGACAACCCTACAACAGGGCTTTTTATTTGTCGTGTCAGGGCAACCAGTCAATTATATTACATTTCTAACAGAACAAAGCAAACAAACAGACAAAATACAAAATTTGTGAGTTTGGTAGTTGATTAAATGTCCTTTGACCAGTATCTGGCCACTTGGAGTACTTCTGGTGTTGCTGCAAGAAGGTCCTCCATTGTGCATGTGGCAGGGCTCAGGTTGCATTGCAGCAGGTGGTCAGTGGTTTGCTCTCTCCACACTCGCATGTCGAGGATTCCACTTTGTAGCCCCATTTCTGAAGGTTGGCTCTGCATCTTGTGGTGCCAGAGCGGAGTCTGTTCAGAGCCTTCCAAGTCGCCCAGTTTTCTGAGTGCCCAGGGGGAGTCTCTCATTTGGTATCAGCCATTGGTTGAGGTTCTGGGTTTGAGCCTGCCACTTTTGGACTCTCACTTGCTGAGGTGTTCCAGCGAGTGTCTCTGTAGATCTTAGAAAACTATTTCTAGATTTAAGTCGTTGACGTGCTGGCTGATACCCAAACAGGGGATGAGCTGGAGGGCTGAGAGTTTATGACTTGCCCAAGATAAGAAAGTAGCCTTCCATGGCCAACCAGGGAATTGAACCCTGGTCTCAAGTTGCTGTCCAACACTCACACCACTATTCACATCAATCCAGTCTTCTTCCTTTCCTGTTACTTTTCATTTTACCAGCATTGTTGTCTTTTCCATCAAGTCACACCATTTCATGATATGTCTTAAGTTAGACCACCTCACTTCCAGTGAGAGTTCAGGCTTGATTTGCTCTAGAACCCAATCATTTCTCCTTGACCTGCCTGTTGTGCTTTTGCAACTTTTGAGCAATTACAAATACATTCTCTTCCAACTTTTCCCACCATACACAGACAACTTGCTACCAGGTTTTAAAGGCCTACTCTGAATGAATTGCATTAGGAGAGGAGTTGCCGTTCCTAGGAAATTAAATATTAACTATACTATGAATCTTTGTGGTGGCATCATTGTGAAGAGATACACTGGTGGAGTAAGTGACATCTTGATGGCATGTTTGTATGGATTCTGGAAAATCAGGTATCACCACGAATGTATTACGTGCTTGTGCCTTACAACCCCTTTGCAGATATTTCCCACTCCCACTGGCATCGAAACCAGAAATAAATGGTTTGGCTTAAAAACCTCTATTTCTTTGGGGGAAGTAAACAAGCCAGCAGATCAACTTTGGGCAGCATCCTAAAAAAGGCAGGGCTGGAGCGGTTGGCCCAATATGGAAGCCACTAGCTTAGACTGCTCTGAAGAAATTAACACAGTAGGGTTTTAAGGGTTTTTTTGTTTGTTTTTTTTTGTCGTGTCAGGAGCGACTTGAGAAACTGCAAGTCGCTTCTGGTGTGAGAGAATTGGCCGTCTGCAAGGACGTTGCCCAGGGGACACCTGGATGATTTGATGGGAGCGCGAGCAGGGCTTCTCCAGATGATTGAAGAGATCATGTGGATTCAGAAATGTGGTCACGCAGGTAGGCGGGTCCCAAACCGTTCAGGGTTTTGTAGGTGAGAACCTGCACCTTGAATTGGGTCCGGAAAATGAATGGCAGCCAGTGGAGCTCCTTAAACAGGAGGGTTGACCGCTCCCTGTAAGGAGCCCGTTAACAACAAGAGAAACACAAACAAGAGAAACACAAGGGATGGCTCTTTGGTATATGAGGGATATCCAGAAAGTAAGGTTACAAGATTTTTTTTAATACAAAGAATGACTCTATTTTAATAAAACTTACATGGATTATAGCAAAGGGGTTACATTATTTTTCCACATAATCACCATTCAGTTCAATACATTTTGTCATCCGTGATAAGAGTTTTTTGACGCCTGTGCCATAGACGTTTCCCTCCGCTTTTTTCAGCCAGTTTGTCACTTCAATTTTTACCTCCTTGTCGCTTGAAAAGTGTTTTCCACCCAGATGTTCCTTCAATTTAGTGAACAGATGATAGTCACTGGGTGAGATCGGGGTTGTGAGAGACGAAATAAAGTCAACCACACCACTTATGCAACTTATGTGTTGCATAAGTGGTGTGCGGATCAAATCATAGAATCATAGAGTTGGAAGAGACCTCATGGGCCATCCAGTCCAACCCCATTCTGCCAAGAAGCAGGAAAATTGCATTCAAAGCACCCCTGACAGATGGCCATACAGCCTCTGTTTAAAAACCTCCAAAGAAGAAGCCTCCACCAGACTCCGGGGCAGAGAGTTCCACTGCTGAACGGCTCTCATAGTCAGGAAGTTCTTCCTCATGTTCAGATGGAATCTCCTTTCTTGTAGTTTGAAGCCATTGCTCCACGTCCTAGTCTCCAGGGAAACAGAAAACAAGCTTGCTCCCTCCTCCCTGTGACTTCCTCTCACATATTTATACATGGCTATCATATCTCCTCTCAGCCTTCTCTTCTTCAGGCTAAACATGCCCAGCTCCTTAAGCCACTCCTCATAGGGCTTGTAGCAGGACTGTTGAAATGCTTGAGGGAAAACCACCACCTCCCTTTATTATTTGATTATTTCACATCTGCATGGAACAATAGACATTTATGGTTTCCTTTGCCTCGCCCTCGGAGTTGGTCCAGTGAGATGAGGAAGTCTATTTGGAATACGGACATTATGATTGATTTACAAAGGGCAACGTTGATCCCCCCCCCCCCGAGGTCTGCTACCCTGATCGTGTTTGTTTCCCTCACCAAAACCCCTCAAAGGACAATAAGCTGCATCGGCTGGAGACATTTTTCCTTTGTTTCGCTGAGCACATGGCCAGTTTCCATTGACTCTCTTTGTGTTCTGTCGTCCCGCCTCCCCTCTTCTGATTCGCTGGCCGGAGGGCAACAGGAGCCCTCCCCCTTGGATCCAGCATGCCCCTGAAGCTCCCTGATTGGTCCAGGAGCCCAGGGGATGGGAGGCTCCTCCCCAGCTGCTCGCCCTGTTGCCCAATCACAGCGGAGAATGTCAGAGGAGCCGGGGCGGGAAGTTTGAACTCTGGGTTTTCAAAAATTGTATAAATAAGCCTGCATCACTGTGCTCCTGCATGCTTGTAGTGGAACTATTTCTACAATGCATCCGATTGCAGCTGAATCACTAATAAAACACCTCAGTCGCTGAAACTTCTTCCACTTTGGTGAGGATTTATTATTTTTAATATTTTTATCGCTGAAATTGGCTTTGCTGACCTCACCAAGGTTCCAGGACTCTCTTTGGTGTGGTCCTCAGGGATCTCCTTGGCTGGGGAGACCCTCCTAAAAGCAGCTCGATATCAAAGCCACCTTGCATAATATCACGTCAACGTTAGTAGAACCAACCCAACCGGGAAAAGACCAGAAATGTGTCATATGTGAGAGGAATCAGCAAGGGAAAGCTAAGCAATTACTGGTTTATTAACTAAACCTACTGAGACTCTCAAACATTCAAGACAAATAAAAGAGCATTTGAATACTGTACCTAAGCAAATCTTAACACCTCCCATTTCCAGAAAACTTGCCTTGGCCTTTTCCTTATTTAGGCCACATCTTATGTGCATACATTTGCTTATGTGCAGGCATACATTTGCTGAATGAAAAGCCTTAGGTTGATAGAGCAAAGTTTTCATTTTGACACCAATCTGTATTTATTTATTCATTTTTTTTATTTACTGCCCTTCTCAGCCTTTAGGCGACTCAGAGTAGCTTGCAATGGCAACGATTCGATGCCCCAAAACACCATAAAACATTTAAAAACATTTTCTAATGCTACACCATTAAGTTGTATCTCTGGCATTGGGAAGGGGATGGCTGGTGACTGCTGGAACAACACTTTGGTTTTCTCGATGTTCAGTGACAGGCCAAGCTTCTGCGAAGGTGTTTAGAGTGGCTTGTAGATCTTCTTCTGTATGCGCACAGACGACATTGTCATCAGCATACTGGAGTTCTATAACAGATGTTGTTGTAACCTTGGTTTTGGCTTTCAGTCTGCTGAGGTTAAACAGCTTGCCATCTGGCCGATAGATGATTTCCACTCCGGTGGGAAGCTTCCCATCAACAAGGTGAAGTATCAT